ATGCAGGAATCCTACTAGGATTCTGCAAAGAAAGACAAATATTTTAGTAAAAATTGCATCTTCATTTATTAATACGAATGGATTTTCAGATTTTATTTAAGTTTACTTATAACTTAAGGTCTCAAATAATACAAGGATTTGTATTGTGTATGTCAAAGAAATGAAAGGTACAGTTAATGAAAATGCTACATAAGAAAAGTTACACTTCGTTAATGAAATACCCCATCCACACAAGTCAACAACAGAAATCTGGCATTATCTTTAGCTCATATAATCAGAAAAATGACAAAGCAAAGCCCATCTTCCTTTGGTGATAAAGATTAAAAAATACAAGAGGGAAATGTGGAAAAGTCAGGAAATGACCAATTGGCAAAAGTGACTCCTAAAGTTTTATATTACTTCCCTATCTTACTCCAAATATTTAATCAAATCCAGTAAGAACCAAATTGGAAAGGGGTAAAGCCAACAGGAAAGTTACATAGTTCAACTGAAAACCAAAAATGTGCTCAGGCTGTCTCTTCCTGTTTGAGGCAAAACTGACAAATTCTTGACAAAGAAAAGGTCAGCAGCCTTAGCAATCCCCACCTGATAGGTTCTGTGAAGCAAATTTTGAGAATTTTCTAGCTTCCCACTTTCTATCTAATTATAGAGCTTTAAAAACACCATTTTTTTTCTCTCTCTCTCCCTTCCTCTCCCTCTCTTTTTTCTGTTTTCAATCTCTCTCTCAACCTTCTGTCTTATGATATCTCAGTAGGAGGTATCATAAATCTCATTTCTCCCAGAGCAGCAATGTAAAGGAAGACCTCCCCTCTGTACATACACTATTATTCTGACAATAATAACCCCCACATGAAATAAAAATAGAATAATACACTTCCCCTAGAAGATTAAAGTATTTATAATAAAGAAAGTATATTATAATTTAAAATAATACATACTAGAACCTAACCATCCATAAAAATGCTGGGAGGTATATACCTCAAAACAGTTTTGGAACTCTTGGGAATGTCTAAAGAGTATGTGGTATATTTTATTCAACTAAATTCCACAAATAAGATCTCATGCTAGGCTGTGGGGATGCATTATGATTGCTACCATGGCACATCTGGCACAATAGCCCCAAATCAACTATTAATGATGGTACTGATTTAATGAATTAATGAAAATTCACAAATTCATACTACATGCCAGGTACTTTTCCAGACCCTAGGCACAAAGCATGAACAAAACAAGTGTCTAGCTTCCATGATAAAGATGAACCAGTAGATAAGTATAAATTCGATTTTTAGAAATAATTAAAAATCATATGAGATGATAAAAATCTTCTGCCAAAACAATGCCATAAAGGACAGGACTGTATTTATTGTAAAAATAAATTTGCTCTGAAGTCATGAGTTTAAAATGTTTTTAAAATAGAGTCACTGATATAAATCTGCAATATGGCTTCTTTACAGAACAACTTCAACCAGATGTATAAATTCACCCCGTCAGGTCCCTTTTATTTTCTGGCTGAGGAAATAAAGGCCTGGAGAGGTTGAGTATCCTCCTATGGGTACACAGGTAGTCAGTGTCACACTTCCCAGACATCTTCCCATGGCTCCAAATAGTTCAGTGCTCTTTCCAGGAAACAGGACTCTTTTCAAGGGCAAATATTCTAGCTTTTATACAGCAAGTATTTGACAACCTTCTGAGCTGAGTGATGTTTAGATACAGTCACAAATGTACTAGGGAATCAATGCAAAATGAGGTCAAAATGATTTTCTAGGCAATGAATGAGGCCAAATTGTGATCTTGACTTATTGTGTACTATTATGGGTAACCCTTCCAGCAGCTCTTCCTCTTGCTCCAACTCTTCCCTCATCATTTAGTTAATATTAAAAGTGTTTTGTTTTCTTCTATGACAATAACACCATCTATATTAAAGTTACCATATTTGACTTATAAATAAAAAGCTTTTTTTCCAGTTTTAAATTATGTGATCTTTAGTGCATTTTAACACTCTAGGATTCAATTAAATGTCTTAGAAAGCACTTACAGTGCATGAAATCCTGTGCAAATCCTACCACATGGGTTGTTTTTTCAAATGTAACTCTGCCTTCAAATATCTCACTAGCTGGTTGAGGGTGTCAGTCTATTGAAAATGTGAATTAGATCAAGAATGATCTAACGTGGGCAAAGCACTGAACATAGCTAAGACTGGGCACAGAGGTTTTTAAAATGTCCATCAGTATTTCTACAAATATTTGATGCTACAACATCTGGTCCCAGGAAAAGAGAAGTCCAACCACCTGAGTCAGTTCCAATCCTCTCCTGCTAAGCATGCTCAGCCTCAAAGAGGGTTGCTGCTTAAAAAATCTGAAATCCAGTCAGAAAACTTAAGGATAACTTGTAAATTCTAGGATAACTTTTACTATTTTTAATCTATATTTAAATACAGATTATCTGTCAGTGATGGTGAAGAAGTAGGTTCACCTTATGAGATTTATAGATAACATAAAGAATCCTACTCACTGCAAATATACTTGGTCAATAAAACCTGGCTTTTTTCTTTCTTTTTTTTTTTTGAGGTGGGGGGCAGCTTTTCTCTGTGTAATAACTGAAGCATATCACTACTGAATCTAGCTCCATAAAATTATTCTCAAAGGTTCTCTTAGGGAATAGCTTGGTGGTCAGTATTGATTTCTTCTATCAATACAAACAGCTAGGCTTCCTGTAATCTTTCCCACATTATTTCATGCATATGTAGAAACTGTTTGATTTGCCCACTATCAAATAACAATCTCTAAAATTGTTATATCCCTCCTCTCAGCAGAAGGCTTTAATCCTCCCTATACAAAGAACATTGGGATTCCCCCATGAAAACCAACAATTTCCCCCCTCCTTATCCTTAACAATTCTCTGCAACCTCTCCTTTCTCTTTAACCTATACTGTTCATTCCAACCCCCAAGTGCCTTGCTCCATCAATTATTTTCCTTCTTATTTGATAAACATATTCTTCCATAAAGTAACCTAAAAATCTTTTCAGTCTTAGCATTCCCATTATTTCATCCAATTCTTTTTTTATACTATGGATGATTCATGGCTTATGCTACATTCTCCTTAGCTACTGTGAGTGACATTTTAGGAAGTAACTTTATGTACATGATCATATTTTTACTTGGGTAAATTATAAAATTTAATTGTACCCTCACACTAAATGATAGACGAGACATTTCTTCCCTATGTAATAATGCTCAAGAAAGTTTAGCTTTCCCTGATGATCCAGTAGGTTTTCATACTATATATAATGAAAAATTACAACTCATCACAATTTTTTCCTTGCTCTGACTTCAAGTCAGACCTGCTAAGTCTGCAGGTCAATTTTAATAAATTTGAGAATCATTCTCATTCACAGTTAGGTAGTTCCAGTCTAGGTTTCTATTTTATATTTTTCAGTTGCTTTGATTTTAATTTTTTTTTTCCATTTTGTGATTAACATTTTCTTGAAAATTGCATAGATTCTTCATGATACAGGATAAAATATAAATAAACTGGTATTTGCAAGCTCACTATAGCTATGTTTAACAAAGAATTGTGGAAAATTAAATTTTCATTTTCCTATTAAAAAAAGTGTGGCTAGGGCCTCCCCTGGTGGCGCAGCAGTGGAGTGCTGGGCTGTGAAGCTGCCTGCAGCCTCTGCAGCGCTGGTTCGATCCCGGGCCCCTGGTGAGGGTCCCACATGGCACAACGGGCTTCCCTGATGCGCCCGCTGCTCCCCTCAGCACTGTATTTTGTCAGTCTGCCTATTCTGTTCCCCGCTCTGGCTCTGGTGAATTCTCTCACCCTCCCGCACTTCTGACTGTACCCAGTGCTTGTATAAATAAATAAATAAATCTTTTAAAAAAAGTGTGGCCAATTATATCACCTGGATTTATTCCATCAAGCATTTTTCTCATTCTATTTCTATTGTACATATTGTGAATCCATGATCTAAATATGGTCATTTGCCTTTGTGTTAATGAAATCAATGAGAAGTAAATCTCATTTACTTATAAATCAGAAAAACTTCCTTCTTTGACTATACTGAGATCTTTGTTTACTTTTACTTTGTTTTGTTTTCAATTAGTCTGTTTTCCTCTTTGAAACATCTAAAAAAATACAGAAATAACTTTGAATAAAAACTATTGCTATTCAAAATGGCTACAAAGAAGTTTCATCACAACCTCTTTGACTAAATTTGAAAGGAAGTCCTGCTAGATTAGCATCGATAGAGTTTTGAAATACTCTAGAGAAATACGGAATCTGTTTCCCCCATAAAAGTGTGCTGCAAGGAGCACTTACTACATAGTTATACAAACTGAAGACTATCTAAAACAAATACAGATGATTCTCATTTTGCGGTAACTATGTTTTATAAAATTACTGCTAACAATGATTTAGCAAATACTGAACTATTGTTTTTAGGAGAAATACAGGGTTGGGTTACTATAAGCCTCTGGCCACAACATACTCTTCAACTGTTTAATATAATACCACATTTTATGTGTGTTTCTGTTTAAATAGAGCACCTCAGCATTATATTGGAAGTAATTTTAAATAGCAAAATCACCAACAAAAATCACAACAATGTGAAAAGTAGCACTAACTGTATTGGGGAGTCACTTGTTCACAGTATGAGAGCAGAAACATGAAGGCACGTACTGTGTGTGCACCAAATCAAATTTTGGGACCTCTGCACATATCAGCTAAGGCACTGTGAAATATTGACTTTGGGGTTACAAATAAATTTTTCCAAGAAGGCAAATCTAAAAATACAGAATTTGTGAATACTGAAGGTCAACTGAATGAGTCAAATACTTCAGAGTTCCTTCTTTGATTTGAATGCAACAAAAAGAGGTCTGGAAATTCTAATAAATACTGTTCGGTTACTATGAACTTAAGAGTTTTGCACTAGAATGCTTTAGGAAGTGAGATGTATGAGGCTTTCACAAGTGTTACTGTTAAAAGTGTTAATTCCTACCTGATATATTCTAAAAGGGATGTAACGAAATCCATTTTCTTCTGCATTATATTCCATGAGTTTCCGATTGATGGCCCAAAACTGGTCAAATCTATCTGCAATGATAAATTTACTTGTTATTTAAAATGAACATTATAATAATGATAGATAAAGTTGCTAAACATTCTCCCTTAGATTTTTTTTAAAAGGGTGTCACTTAAATGTTATTTTTTTAAACTAATTTTTATGATTAAACACAAAGCAAGACAAAATTGATTTTTTCTACATTATTGTTTCTTCTCCCTAGGTAACTATAAACATGTTTCTCATAAGAGAAATACTAAATATATAAAAGATATTTTTGGTGTCAAGGCAAAAAATATCATGTAGAGGTCAATGTCTAAATTTCCTGGGTAACTATTTTTATAGTCAAAATTATAAAGGTGCAGTTCAAGAAACCTAAATTGTAACCACAATTTATTTAAAGAAAAAAAGTCAAACATGAAACAATAAACATTAAGCAGCAAAGAAGATAATATCATAGGAAAGGTTTTTAAGTAAGTGTGGAATTGACTCTTAAGAAATAACTGTCAACTGCAATTTATTCTCAGACTGATTAGTCAACTTTTAAACATTTTCAGTCTCAATTAAAAAATACAGCTCTACTGAAATATAATCCAACATACTATAAAAGTTACCCTTTCAAAGAGGCTTGTAGCACATTCACTGTTGAACAACCATTGCCAATATCTAATTTCATATTTTCATCATCCCCCCAATAAATCCATACCTATTCACAGACAGTAATTCCCTTTACCCCTTCTTTTACTAGCTCCTGGAAATCATTTATCTACTTTCTATCTCTATTCTGGACATTTCATACATTGGAATTTATGATATGTGGTAGTTGTGGGATCTGTTTTTATTTTCTTAGTATGCCTTCAAGATTCATTTGTCTTGTAGCATATATCAGGACACTATTCATTTTTACAGCCATATAATATTGTATGGAAATACACATTTTGTTTACCTATTCATCGGTTCATGGACATTTAAGCTGTTTCTACTTCTTGGTTATTACATGAATAACATAGATGAACATTTGTGTGAATGTAAGTTTTCAATTTCCTTGGGTATATGCCTAAGAGTGGAATTGCTGAATTACATATGGTAACTGTTCTAACTGCCAAATGGTAACCACATTTTGAGGAACTGCCTGGCTATTTACCAAAGAGGCTGCACCACTGAATATTCCCACCAACAAAATATGAGTGTTCTAATTTGTCTATATCCTTGTCAACACTTGCTCCCTCTTCTTTTTTTTTTTTTTTAAGTACAGTAGCCATCTTAGTGGGTGTCAACCTCTCTACTTTTTTTAAAAAAATTTTATTTTTATATTCCCCATACAATTATAGCCCCCTTATTTTGGCCCCAAACCCTACTTTCCCCACCCCACCCCCCACAGTGTGTCTCTGGTTTAGAGTTTGTTGATTTTGATTTTTTCTTTATTATAGTTATTCTTTTTCCTGGTCCCTTATTTAGGTTTTCTAGATTCCTGCTATGAGTGAGACCATCCAGTATTTTCTTTTTCTTTCTGGCTTATTTCGCTGAGCATGATCCCTTCCAGCTCCATCCATGTTGCTGCAAATTGCATGAGTTTATCTTTTTTGATTGCTGAGTAATATTCCATGGTGTATATGTACCACATCTTCTCAATCCAGTCATCTATTTTTGGGCATTTGGTTGTTTCCAAAGCTTAGCTATTGTAAATAGTGCTGCTATAAACATAGGGGTGCAGGTGCCCTTTGGAATTGATGTTTCTGTGTCCTTTGGGTAAATACCTAGGAGTGGAATTGCTGGATCATATGGAAGCTCTATCTTTACTAGGTTGAGGAATCTCCACACAGCTCATAGTGTCAACCTATCTACTTATGGTTTGTCTTGCATTTCCCTAATGATCAACTTTGCTGAGCATCTTTTAATTTGTTTACTGACCACTTATATATTGTCTTTGGGGAAGTGTCTCCATTGTCTCCTTTTTAACTGGGTTATCTGTCCTTTTACTGTTGAGTTGTAAGAGTTCTCATTGTATTCTGTATATAGGCCCCTTCCCCGATAAATAATACGCAAATATTTTTCATATTCTGGGCATTATTTCTTTACGTAGTTTTTAACTCACTCAGAATTCTATCTTAAAATAAAATTTACTTACATTTATCTCAGTTTCAAAGCTATGAAAAGTACATGAATAGTCCCAGAATTTCAGATCAGTTTGTTATTAAAACACCTTCTTCGTAGGAAAGAATACTTACAATGAAATTAGACAACTCAGAAAAGGAATAAAAGTGAAATTAGCTAAAAAACCAACAACAAGGGGCCTCTCCAGTGGCGCAGCAGTTGAGTGCTGGGTTGCGAAGCTGCCCCCAGCCTCTGCAGCGCCGGTTCGATCCCCGCTACTCCCCGGCCACCGGAGAAGGGTCCCACATGGCAAGCAGACCTCTCCAGCTGCCCGCTGCTCCCCTCAGTGGTGTACCTCAGTTCTTCTGCCTGCTCTGCTCCCCGCTCTGGCTCTGGTGAATTCTCTCGCCCTCCCGCGCTTCTGACTGTACCCAGTGTTTGTATAAATAAATAAATAAATAAATAAATCTTTAAAAAAAAAAAAAACTTAAAAAAAAAAACCCCAACAACAAAACACATTCTCTACTCCTATACTCATCTCAATCCAATTTACCATCAATCTATTCATATTGCTTAGGCCTTCATAAATATAAAGGAGAATGTAGTTCAGTTGGTTGTTCTTAAACTTCTCTTAAAAAATGGTAACTGGCTCCAGGTTTTCTCTCATTATCAACTCCAAATATAAAGATTCATGTTATATGGTAGGATAGAAAATCTATAATCCAGTTACTTCAGTGCAATTCTAGAGATGACAACTAAAGCCAGGTTAGGAGTTTTATTAAGAACCAGGATCAGGGCCTCCCCAGTGGTGCAGCGGTTGAGCGCTGGGTTGTGAAGCTGTCCGCAGCCTCTGCGGCGCCGGTTCGATCTCCGGCTGCTCCCCGGCCACCGGAGGAGGGTCCCACATGGCACGCAGACCTCTCCTGCCGCCCGCTGCTCCCCTCAGCAGTGTACTTCGGTCCTTCTGCCTGCTCTGCTTCCTGCTCTGGCTCTGGTGAATTTTCTCATCCTCCCGCGCTTCTGACTGTACCCAGTGCATGTATAAAACAAACAAATAAATAAATAAAAAATGTCCCAAGTCTAGTGCCTCTTTAAAAAAAAAAAAAAAAAAAGAACCAGGATCAGAGTCTTGGTCTTTTGATTCAAAGTCCACAACTGTTTCAACAGTTACAACCACAAACCTGCATTTTAATGCTAAGAGTATATCCTTTGACCACAGTCCTTTCATATATGAATCAATTATTCTTTCAATGCTTTTAAAAAGATTCGTTTTCTAGCAGCAAGTATCAAGTAAGCATGTGATAGCTAAAAAAATATTTCTAAATTTTACTAGCTGCCTCATCATGAAATTTCTAGCACCTACCACAGTCCATGCATATTATACACTTGAGTTAAACAATGAATAATAGGATATTAAGTACATAAGTTACTGAAAAAATTTGAGGTCCCTAGATCTGCAAGTAAATACCTAGGTGACTAGCTATTCAATTCAAAATTCTACCTTAATTTTTTGTAAGTGAAATAAAGGATTAAATAATTTCTAATGCCTCTTCTAAAAATAAAACTGTATAATTATTTAAGACACCCTCTTTTGTTAACAGAATTTGTTAAAAACTACAGGCAAACATTTGTTAAATTTATAGCTTCTAACAGAGAGAAAAACATGGTTTAAAGCAGTGTTCTTAACTAGGGAAGATTTTGCTGCCTAGAGGACTTGGAGACATTTTGACTGTCACCTATAGAATGTGTAGGGACCAGGGATACTGCTAACCATACTACAATGCATAGAACTGTGCCTGACCACCAAGACTTACCTGACCTAAAACATCCCTAAAGGAAGGAAAGCAAATGCAAACAAATAATAAAAATACAGAAAGGCAAACAGTAAAAAGTTCTTCATACCTATGTGGCAAAAAAGTAAACTGGAAAAAGGAACATTATTGTTCCCATTATCAACTTTACTCTCAGCTCCAATATTCACCAATTAACAATGCATTGCCATAATGGGTACACTGCTCTAATTATCTCTACTATGACAACCACATCAAGCTTTCTCAGTAGAATGGAGAGGACATTGCAAGAAAAAGGAGTTTCTGCCTGCATAGTCAAACTAAAAGCTCCTACCCCTAACAGCACCTTGATTTTTTCCAGAGGAGGCTCACATAGGCAGCTAGCCTGTGATTTCCTATGAGCTGCCATGCCCCTCTGTACACCCATGCCACATATCCAGATAGTCCTGACTGCCGGGTGACTACAGATCAGCTCCATTCTGGGCAAGACAGCAAATTTCTCTACTAATCAATTGGGCTGGAGGCTACTTTTTCCAGCAAGTTCTTAACACAGACTTGGGAAGGGGACACCTTGTATGACTTTCTTCCCTTAGCCTATAGTACTACATGCAGTTTTCTTATATTTTTGTTATTCTTTTATCAGAATTTAATAATTGCTTATATAAAACTTACCCTGTTTAACCTTCTGTGTGGTTTCTAGCTCAAGACTAGACCCAGATTGACACAACTATGTTCAAAAGGAATTAAAATATAATAAAAGATCTGCGTTAATAGAAGCATTTAATCTTTTTATAAAGATGTTACATTCTTATACAAAATACATTTTCTCAACTATACCAAAAACATTCCAACAAAGAATAATCTGACATTTACAAGTGATAGTAATTCATAAGATAGAAATAGAAAAAAGCAAAAGGAAATCAATGCTGAGAGTGAATATATAACCAAATGCCTCACACTATATTTAATGGTATCATATTTTTTTCTATCCCCCGGTCAACAATTAAAATAAAGGTGGAATAGGATGCACTACTACCTTCCTATATATTAATGAACTAAGAACATTCTGACCTGTTACCAAGCAATACTTTAAATATTACAACTATGGTATTCGTAATCTACCCGTCAGCCATGAAAACAGTACTAAC